CCAACCACAAGCCCCCTCCTCGCAACACTCTTACCTGTTTCGGGCAAGTATCATGTCTGCCTTGGCCCACCAGCTCAGCCCATGAAACAGTGTTTCGCCCGCAAAGCAATCCGACAATGTGGTGTCATATCGAGGCAGACATTTGTCTCCCCAATCGCTCTCTTTTCTTTGTTAGTGCCAATACTACTCTCTCCGTATTCGTGCGGCCCAAACAATCTGCCTGGCGAATTACCTTGGCGTGCCATGTGGTCCGTTCGGTATGACGGGCGGATCGTGACATGGGGCTAGCTTACAATCGGTCAGACTCATACAATCCTTCTGTAGGACCATAAGATTGGCATTCACTGGGAAACATGCTACTTGTGTATTAAAATGCTAGCTTTCGCTGTCTAGTCAGCTTACGCTTAGATCTCAACTCTTTCCTCTACTCTCTGAGACTCTGTGAGATCTCGCATCCGTTTGACACGGTCATAATAGCCCATCATGGTTGTAAGTACCAGAGTCGTCAAAGGATTACTGTAACTGACAATATGCAGAGAGTACCCATCTTTCGCAGTCTCGTCAGTGGCTCTAAGAGCACCAATGACGAGTCGCCCAAAGAAGACCCCGAAAAGGACCAAGTTCAACCCATTGGGACCATCTCTGATAAAGATGCTATTCTTCGTCTAGAGCCTGTACCAAACAGAAAAGGTCTCTTGGTCAAGATCGAACCCCCAAAAGAACCATCTGTTAAGATTCCTCATGTACCTTGTGATATCGTCCTTGTCATTGATGTCTCCGGATCCATGGTCTCTGCAGCGCCTGTCCCTGGAGAAAGCGACGAGAGCAATGGTCTGTCCGTTTTGGACCTCACAAAGCATGCTGCACTCACCATCATTGAGTCGATGAACGAGAATGATCGTCTTGGTATCGTCACCTTTGCCTCCAAGGCCAAGGTTCTCCAACCTCTTATCCCCATGAACAAAGAGAACAAAGCTCGGTCGCTCAAGAATGTGAGGAGCATGAAGCCTCTCGATGCTACCAATCTCTGGCAAGGTTTACTTGATAGTATCAAGTTGTTCAATACTGGAGAGTCGTCTACCAACGTCCCTGCCATCATGATCCTCACCGACGGCATGCCAAACCACATGTAAGTCCACCCCGCTCCCCACAAACGTAGATGCTCATTCTCGTAGGAACCCTGCAGCAGGCTTCGTCCCCAAGATCCGCGCAATGGGTCCCCTCCCAGCCTCAATTCACACCTTTGGCTTCGGCTACAGTCTCCGCTCCGGGCTCCTCAAGTCCATCGCCGAGATTGGCGGCGGTAACTACGCCTTCATCCCCGACGCCGGTATGATTGGAACAGTATTCGTCCACGCCGTCGCAAACCTCCAAAGCACATTCGCCACGCGCGCTGTTCTCAAACTCTCATACACCAGGCCCTTGGAGCTCTACGAGACAACTGGGCCGTCCGTGGACCAAATAGTCCCTGTGTATGCCGATGATTCGGAAGATAGCCAGGTTGAACTTACGATAAACCTTGGAAATCTGCAGTTTGGACAGTCTCGCGATATTTTCCTCAGCACGAATGGTCTCAAGGAGCTTGAGTTCTTGAATGAAGAGAAGCCCACTCGCGCTCTTGTCGATGCGCATTTGACATATGTGAAGCCTGGGGATTGCCTTAAGAGCCGAAAGGTTCTCGAGTCAATCCTATCAAAAGACGCTGACTTTATTGCTATGGCGAGTAATCAGTGCAACATTCTGGAGTACAGCGATCTGCCTGCCTCCGAGATCGCGTACCATGAATCGAGATCTTTAATCTGCAACTTCATCTCGACCATGTTTCCTATTGGAGTAGATGGTGAGCACGGCATAACACGGGGTATGAAGAATAAGCGCGAAGAGCTTCGAACTTGGATCGATACCCTTCCCGCCAAGAACTTCAATGACGAGAAGAACAAATCTCTCATGCAAGACGTATCAGCCGATGAACCCCAAGGCCAAGTCTCCATGGCCATCGAGAGCAAAGAGTACTTCAACAGATGGGGGTGTCATTTCCTCCCATCTCTCCTCAATGCCCATACGCGCCAAGTCTGCAACTCCTTCAAGGACCCCGGTCCTCTTCAATACGGCACCGAGAGTCCTCTATTCATCTCCTGCCGTGATGCACTTGACCAAATCTTCGATAGTCTCCCCGCTCCCGAACCTTCGCGACACGTGCACGCTAGGGGCGGCAGTCGCTCGCATGGTTCAATGACAGGCATCAGCATGAGTTCTTACCGTAACTCCAGCGGTGTCTGCTTCGCAGGCTCTACAGTCGTCGCACTCGCTTCTGGCCGAACAGTACAGATCCGAAAACTTCGACGCGGCATGAAAGTTCGCACACCGCGTGGTTCACGCCGTGTCGCCATGGTTCTCAAAACCCCCGTTGAGAGTGAGATCCTGTGTCGCGTGGGTAAGGTTCTCGTCACACCATGGCATCCTGTTTCTTCCGACGGAAAACGCTGGGACTTTCCAGCCAATGAAGCTGATGGCGTTGTGATGTACACTGGATGTATTTACTCGGTTCTCTTGGAGCGCGATGCTAGTTCTTCTGCGCATGCTATTCGTGTTGGAGATATGTGGGGTGTGACTCTAGGACATGGGCTGACCACTGGTTCTGACGTTCGCGCTCATACCTTCTTTGGGGACTATAATGCTGTCGGTAAGGGTTTGTTGAGTCTTCCGCGCCGTGCACACGGGATCGTCATCGGTGGTGGTGTCGAGAGGGATGAGGAAACTGGTCTGGTCACCAGCTTCAGACAGCCCAAGTAGTAAACGATAATCAATCAGCATTAGTAAAGCATCAATCAAGACAATCAATTTTCTCACGATCAAACTTCTCATATGTTTTGCCATTTTTATTTCTTATGAGCAATCCATACCCAGCCCTTTTTGATCTCAAACTCCTTGACTCCCAGACGCTTAACTCCTAGTACTCCTAAAGCCCAACCCATGAACTCTTCAAATAGTACAAACCCTCAACTTCTTTCTCTCGATCCCCCAATCCAAATCATCTTCACTCTTTCTCTTCAGTGTCTCCACTGCTCTACATACAGACATCCTCAAATACCCAATTGGGGAAGGGGCATGAGAAAGCTTCTGCTTTGCCTGCCTGTCCACCCCCTTCGATCTCTTCCTCTCAATTCCACCATCCAAATCTTCTTCACTCTTCCTTTTCAAGATCTTCTTCGCTTTGGGTACAATGAACTGAGGCTCCTCGGCTAGTATAGGGACATGGAGAAACTCCTGCTCTGCCGATTTCTCCGTCCCAGTGAAGCTGTATCCATTCCATGGAGCCTCAAGAGGATCGCCGAAAAGGTTCCCAGGTATAACCTCTCTAGAAGCAGGTTGAGTTCGCCATGGGGTACTAACCCGTTTGGCCTTTTTCCTGTCTGGAACAAGTGCTGGACTGGCGGGCACGTCACTGGGGTTCATGTAGCTGTCCTTCGGGGGCATGACCCTTTGAACCACTCCCTCGCGCGGAAGGCTCTTCGGGCTCATAGGCGGTTCGATAATGGTGGTGCAGTTGTGCCAGTCAATGTCCTTCCATCCCATATCTGGTTCCTGACCATAAGGAATGACCCACGGAGGAATCTCTGGCCCAGAACTCGACGAAAGCGACGTAGGCTCAGATTCAATCTGAGCCATCCGTCGAGCCCTGTCCTCAAACACCTCGGCCCATTCTCCCGGATACGGCAGTGCCCCCATCTGCTGCTGAAACTCAGGAGCCCGTGGAAAAGTCCTTTCAGGGAAACCTGTATTGACACCATATGGTGCGGGCGATGTCCACAGCGCATCGTCCTTAATAGATGGTTCAGGACGAGGTGGTATCTGGTGCTGAGAGTAATAGGGATGCCATCGCAGAATATCATCCTGCCGTTCAACATTATCGAGCCAAGCAAATGGAAGATAACTAAACTGCGGAAACCCCTTCTGTAGAGTAGGACATTCCTGGAAGCAATCTCGCCAGGGATGAACGCGCAGGAGAGAAGACGGGCAGACTTCCATACAACCTACATTCGCCAGAACCTCCCACGCCTCTATCAGCCCCACGAAGTGGTGATGTGCTTCACCCCACATCTCATAAAGATCGCCATGCTCAAGGAACAGCTCTGCCTCTTCCTCGGGGCAGCTAGTCCGGTTGCGCAGAATGTACTCAACAATCTTCTCGGCGTCCTGCTCAAGCTCATACATCAATGCACCGGCCTCAAAGAACTGATACCGAATATCCTCCTCGTACGCGAAAACATCCGTGTTCATCTCGAGTGCCTCCCAGTCTTCAATGGGCTCCATTTGATGAAGTACACCGGACTCGTACATGTAGTGCGGATGGATGTTTATGTGATAGGCCTGTCTGCCACGACATATATCCCTAGGGCCCTTTGCGTTGCAGAAGAAGATCTGCCCGGGTGAGCAGCAGTCGCCATGGTAATGACATGTTGCGCCGCCAAATGGTCGGTGGTGCTCGCAGATCCCAGGTGGTTCGAGCGGATGATAGACTGTTTTACCAGTAGTAGTGTTGATTATGGCTGGGCGACGGGTCTCGCAGCGTGTGATGTGGACGACCTGTATGTAGCACATGGTGTTGAAGCGTATCTTGTAATCACAGTAAGTAACGTAGTGTAGAGACAGTGAGTAACGTGTTGTGAAGCTTCAAGATATAAGTTGAAGTTGGTAAAGTAAGAGAAAGGTATGGCGAAGCGCTTTTAACGATTGGTGATGAGGTCTGTGGGTAAAATGATAGATCATGTTCTGCGTGTTTATCATTGTTCAGGTAGTGAAGACAAAGCAATGGTCGGTTTTGCAGGGGGTGTCAAAGAGTCGTTCATTGAAGAAAGGACCCTGTCTTTCAGGCCAGTGAACATTGCTCTGTAACAACGCCTGGATGAGGCTTGTTCGCTTGTTCAATCACTCACTCACAATGGTCATTTTCTGATTCATGTCAATTGTCTCTTTGACGAACATCGCTGACTCACGTACTACCTCCTTGGAACAACGACCAACGGATCCTGCCCCTTTCTCAACGCCGTCATGAGTAATTGCATCCTCCCATCAACACGTCTATCCAAAATCTCACAAGCGTTTTCCGGCGTCAATCCCTTCTGCTCACACATTTCCTCCACCTTTCTCACAACCTTCTGCCTCACACTGACGTAATTGCTCGCATACTTGCGCTCCTGTAACGTCCCCATTCGCCATCTTGTGCTGTATTTTTCTTCGAGTGATTGGATCGATGGATTTCCGTTACTGCCGTGCTTCCACTCTTGCCATACTAATGCGACAGACTTGGGCATGCGGTGGTATTTGAACTTGCGACCGGGTGGACCGCTTGCGTACCGATATGTGACGGAGCGAGGGGTGGAGTATCGTGTCTTTGTGGTTTCGAGATCTTTGTCTAAGAGCGAAGGTGACGGTGTTGCTGGGGCATTTGGTATGTCCTCCATCTCATCGTTGCTATCATCCTCCACCACCTCCTCCTGCTCTTCATCTTCCTCTTCGTCACCGTCGTCAACCTCGAGATCAGGAGTGAAGTCAAGGTCCTTGTCCTCTCCATTGCTCAAGTCAGCACCTGCATACGGAGAATTCCTGGTATTGATGACATTCCACGATGAAGTGTTGCGAAGTCGAACACTCCGCAGATTCGCCCTTGTTTTTCGCTTCACCTCACGATGTGGTCTCAAAGGAGGGTTCTTGCGCTTTGGTGCTCGTCGTCCAGTGCTTCGTACAGGAAGTGCTTCCAGGTCTAGCGTTGGTGGCGATTCGTCAAAGCTCACGTGCCGAACGACCGCCGATGTTTCGTGAAGCTCATCTTGATCACCAAAGTCCGTATGCTCAGTGGCTGGCTGCTCCACGCTCTGTTGAACCGGCATGTAACTCTCTGCTACAAGCCCTCTGATCTCATCCAGATGCTCTCCCCCAAAGGACTTTGCAATCTCAAGTTCAGCACCTCCACCAGTTGCGAACTTTCCCTCCTTCACATCCCTCATAAACCCAACAAACCCATCCATGAGAACAACATGCATCTGTAGTCTCCTCTCCATCTCCCCCATCTTCCTCATCATCTCCTCGTTCTGCCTCGCCAAGTCTTCTGTCCTTTGTCTCTCAGCCTCCAACTCCGCTGTGTAATGTTCTTGCATGTTCACTACAATCCTCGCAAGACTCATCGGCACTTTTTCCACCTCTCGATCAATTCCCTCTTCCCTGGCCGGTGGAGCCACCAATTCCAGGGATTTGCGCCGGATCGGAAGTATCGTCTGACAAGGCTCCGAAGCTGACCTCCGGAGTGGGCCCTCGGACGCGGAGAGGCTCGTGGCCGGCGTTTCATTCGGCGAGATGAGCATCATGGGCAGTTTCTTGCAGATCGGCTGCGACATTGTAAATCGGCTGCTAGAATTGCAGTTTCAGAAATCGGGCGGTCAATTGAAGGGCCCGGTCATTAAATCATTACCGAGCTTGCGAACAGCGCTCGGTCCAATCTATTGAACATCTGGAGAACAAAGAACAACGGGTCACGGACCTCACGAGGTTGAACATGTTTGTTTGCCTAAAAGTCAATCATTCTTGTCTTTAAACAATACTAACTATGCTTATGGTATAAATAGTAATAAGTGCCGAAAATATCTGTTAAATAGTAACGCGCAGGTAAAATAAAATAAAATAAATGGAGAATAAATAACTTCCCTCACCAGAATAGAAGCTTCATGCGACATCTCTTCATCTAGATCATACTTTCTGGCTTTCCTTCCTTTCTTCGCTCCAAATGCTATCAAATCATTATCTTCTTGTATCATGCAGGTGTTCTTTCTGTAAAATTAACTCGATGTAAAAACCAACGGGTATATAACGCCAACGATGCGATGTGATGCGATGCGATATGCGGGGTGGTAGTGTTTCTTTGTTCGTGGGTGAGGGGTGTTTAGATGTAGGCCGAAGGTTGAGCATCGACCTTTCTGCGGCGCCAGAATTTCCATCCCTTGCGTCGCCGCACAGACTTGCCTCCCGCCTTCTCAGCATGATCATCCTCAAGTTCAAGTCTATACCTTCTCACGCTGCCCGAGTCATCATCAAACGAGACATGTTTATTCTCGCACGACACAAAACAATCAGGCACGAGATGTCTCAGCACCCAGCCCTTCACACCGCGCGTCGCAGCGTCGATGGCGGCGTATTCAAGACGGCGGGTGCGGTCGCTGGTCCAGTAGTGTGTTGTCTGAGGCGGTGGTGAGGGGATGGGCGTGGGTTGCACGCGGCGGTCGGGAACGGTGTCGGCGAGCTGAATAGGATCTGGCGATGGGAAGTGGAAGAATGCGGCGGACTGCTTGGGGGGAGATGTAGCTGTTGCGGTGCGTACGAGGTGGAGGGATTGGTTGGATGTGCGTGTTGGTTGAACGGGGTGAGTCTTTGCTGCTCGACGGAGTGAAGGGCGACGATCTCTGAAACGAGATCTTACTCCTGAGCCGTTGCTGCTACCACTACCACTACCGTCCCTGGAGGAACCATTTGACGAGCGCCGGCCAACAAGAAGGTGAGCGTTGTTAATAGTAGACCCGGCGTGGGAAGTATTAGAAGTAGAGGTTCGTCGGGGCGTGTTTGACTCATAGCCTGAATCTTGTCGCTGCATCTTTGCCGTGCCAGGTCGTCGCTCTCTCACCCAGTCCTTGCTACTCGGAGCTTCACGCTGCTGGCGCTGAAGCTCATGTTGAAGATGTTCGAGGTGTTGGAGACTGGTTGTATCGTGGGTAACTGGTGGTCGAGGGGGAGACATGGGTTCAAACAACTCCGTGTCTGCGAAGCTATGGTATGTTGTACCTGAAGCTCGCGACTCAGATCTTTCCTCCATGATGGGCGAACATCCGACGATACCAAGCTGACCAGTCGAAGTATAAGGCAAGATGAATTGAAGGTGAGATTAATTTGTGGCGAGTCGTTCCAGTAAAAGAAGGTAAATGGGTGTATGATGAGGTGGAGGGTATTCACAACAGCACCCGTTTACTAATAATCCCCCAAAAACGATAGACACAAATCTCCGACCCAGTCCAGCCAAGGTCCAAGTCACCAACAACAAAAAACGAAAGACAAAGTAATGAATATATAGGAAAGGAGAAAAGGGGGATAAGCTTTCCACTTCTTTTCCGCGGTGAAGCGAAGCGAAGGCGAAAAAACCTGGTTGCGGGAGAAACAAACAAAGAGAACCAAAAAGTTGCGGTCTGCCCTTCTCTTGTTATTTAACTTAACCCGAGTTGAACCAAAGACACCCCAGTCGAGAAAAGTTCAGGGCCCTAGCAGGGGCTCTAAGCGGGATGCTGGGGACCAGGGGTGTTGGATTGGCCTCTGGGCGGTGAAAGGATATGCACGACGGTGGTGGTGTCATGTACCTAAGGAATAGCGTTGGTGAAATAGGACGAGTTGGTGTTTTGATGGTAGATAATAATGGTTTGTAATGGGTACTGGAGAATTCGGGAGTAAAAGCCGGGTATTTGCGATTTGGTGGGTTGGAGTGAAGTGAGGTTAATTATGAGTAACAATAAGCTTAAGCTGAACAGTGAAGCAGACAAACAAAGACAAGATGAGCGTCTGTCTACTAGACTCTCAATCTGCTCTGCCTTGCTCTATCACACGTCGTCAATCCCAAATCGAATGATATTGGCGATCTCAAGCGGTGCGTTGCTTTAGTCAACTTCGGTCCTGTTTTTCCTTCTCTTCAAGCCCATCCCGTTAGTCCAAACGGTCAACCGATCACCACGAGAAAAATATCACCTTACCCAAACTTTGGCCAGGCCAGTGGAGCTTCTTTGTTACTCAATTGGTGGAGTTGCGGTATGACCGACGACGGCTTTGCGCGTTGACGATCGGCTGCGGGACCGGAAGAGAAGAGAAAGTTATGGGGCTTTGCAGGAGGTGGACCGAGAGAAAGCGAAAATGCAGAGTGCAGAGAAGGAGGGGAGGATCTTGAGGATGTTTCTATATGAAGTATGGAATGTGAAGCAGGGAATCATATGACGTGGACGGCTTGTAGGACCAGTGTTGGATATTCATCTTCACATGCTCAGGTTTTACTCTATCAGAGTGAAAATGAGAGACATGGGCTTGTATCACTGTATGCCCCGACACAAACGAGAGTCCGAGTGTCTGGGGGTGGCCCGGCATGATGCCCGTCTCTAGTGTCTAGTGTCTCTCACTCGTCTAGCCTCTGTGTTTTCATCAGCTCAGGAACAGCACAAGTCGGCGGGTTACGGAACAAACAAACCGAAAGGAATAAGCAGTCTATCGATCTGGCACTGCAGGGACTGACATTTCTGCCTCTATACCTCTTTTGACACCAACGAGTTAGAAGGGGTCTAGCAGGGTTGGTCCCACGTCACGCAGGCGAGCAACAGGGGTTAATTGGGACTTGGCTTTTGGGCGGCCCGCTCTCACGTTGCTGCGCCTTTTTTCTGTCTGTCTGTCTGTCGGTCCGTCCGCTGGCGTTTACAACTGTACGCCGAGCCCTGTTTCTCTGTAGGATTGCACAAGACTTGAAGCCTTACCACAGCAGCTGAATAATGTACTCGCAATACCGACCGAGTGATATTCATGATCAGAGTCTCAAGTTTATTATGCTTCACGGTATCCACGTGTCAAACATCAAGTGGGACACAAATACCGATGCATTGTACATAACCCATCCATGCGTGCATACGTCGACCCGTCAATAGCTGAACCTGATATGCAAATCATCCAAGGTCTCATTTTTCGTCCGTTCTTTTTCGCACTGATCCAGCAGTCACAGACCAGTTTCACAGAGCGCCTAAAATCACTCACTCACTTCAATCGCGGGGGTGATCCCAGCGTCTGAAACACAGACCTCTTTTCTTGTACGCCGGGTCTTCCCGTGGCTAGATTTGACGCCGTCGCTGAAAATGGGGTTCTGTTGGAAGAGAAATCGTGAATGGGGTAGAGGTCTTGGCGAGCGCTTGAGCCTGTTGACACTGGACAGTCCCCAGAAATGGAAGATGCATGACAACTCACGTATTTTACCTGTGCCTGTGCCTGAATCATCGAGAACCTATCATCAGTGTATTTTGCAGCATGTGAAAGGTAAGATGCGCTGCCGAGGGTCTCATCCAGATCAGATTTCTGTGCATCTGATGCAATAAAACGACAACACCCTCGTTTTGCATGACCATTCCTTGTCGTGGTAGAGTGATCTCGTGTTGCACATGATAACTTTGGGGGGTTCTTGGGGTGCCACGCCCAGGAACGAAAAAAGAGAGCATCCAACAGCCACCTACGAGCTGTGCCTCTCCCAAGCTGCAAGTTAATCTCCAGCCACCAACAAATCACTGCATGTTCCAAAACCCTTTCTTTTTATAAACGCCTATTTCTTCCTTATGCCCATTAAAGAGACACTAGCTAAGACAGATGATGCGCCCGACATCGGAACCAATAGAGTTGTATCGATTGCGAAAATTGAACTTCACATGTCTTTTTAGAATGCGACGCTGTTTATGCAGCTTGACGATCGGTGGCTTGGTCATGTGCACGAGTGAAGCCGGTTACGGATGGATGATCGGCAGAGAGTGCTGAGAATGGCAGTGGGTGAGGAAGAATGTTGATACGGGCTGAGACATTGGACGCCTTGCAGGTGATGAGTTGGACGTTTGAGTTGGCGACGTCGGTCAATGCGCCGACGCTTGGGAGTTGCGTCATGACATTCGGTGAGGGCCTTGGGGAGGATATTACGAATACAATGGGGACGGATTGAGGTCTCGGCTTTCTGGGCATCTTGGCCTTGAGCATGAAGCAGAGCCAACAGTCAGGACGGCGGCATCTCGATAATTAGGGACAATTCGTTGGGTCTTGGTGGCTGGTCTCTCGGCTTGGTCAACGTATTCCCTTTCGTAAATGCTGCCCAGAGGTAAGATGCAGAAGGCTCCAGATGACCAATCAATAGAAACTGCGCTGACTGCATCGATGTTGTTTAGCATGCTGCTCCGGGGACGAAAAAGAGCTTAACACCCGGATCCTAAGCCATAAAAAATATTTAGGTAGATTGAGTATTAGCTTAGAGGACTCTTTACCGAGTTTTTGTTGGCATTTATTTCATGGTCTAAAGTCTTTTTGCTTCCTGACGAGAACTGCATAGTGGTCCCAAGCAAGTTAGATACTCGATGTACCCTGTTGGACACCGTATACGAGCTATCCAATCGCCGACAAGATATTATTCGGAAAGCTTCACTTCGTAAATCCAACCCTCAAAAATCAGTGGTATAGGGTATTACTCCCAAAATAGCATCGTCCCAAAGCTGAGATTAAGTTCAGCCGTCTCAATGCAGAAGACCATTCTACCAATTGAACACAGCCCAAATACTGTAGTCGCTCATCATCAATGCCC